TCCCTGCCATAACATCTGTCACCACCTATAGCTATAGCTTAGAACCTTTTGTACATTTAAGAATAAATTTTTGTAAAAAAAAGAAAATCATACAGTGGCTCATCTTGTCTATAGTTTTTCTCAGACATTTTCTACCTTAGCCTATGAGATCCACATAAACCCAGCGCAGAATCCTGCCAAAGTGTGTTCTTAAGTCCTTGTTCTATCCTGAATTCTGCATCACCTGGAATGAAACCAACTCATTTGAAAAATAAAAAGAAAATTAAAAGGCAAATCACAGACTGGGAGAAAATAGTAACAACACACATCTCTGAAAAAGGATTTGTAGCCAGAATATACAAAGAGCTCTTATAACTCAATAAGACAAAACAACTCAACATTTTTTTTTTTTTGGCCTCACCATGAGGCATGTGTGATCTTAATTCCCCTACCAGGGATCGAACCTGTGCCCCCGGCAATGGAAGTGCGGAGTCTTGACCACTGGGCCGCCAGGGAAATCCCAAAACAACTCAACTTCTAAAATGGACAAAATATTTGTACATACACTTCACAAAGGGAAATATGTGAATGGCCAATAAGCACACAAAAAGAAGCTCAACATTTTAGGTCATCAGAAAAATGCAAATTAAAACCGCAATGAGATACCAAAACACACTTAGTAGAATGGCTAAAATTAAAAAGACTAACAACAACAAGTCGGGACAAGAATATTGTGCACACAGAAATCTCACAAATTGCTAGTGGGATTGTAAACTGGTACAACCACTTTGGAAAGCGATCTGTCAACTTCATACAAAGTTAAACATAGTAATTTCACTCCTAGACATTTGCCCAAGAGAAGTGAAAACATGTTTTCACACAAAAAATTGTACGTGAATATGCATAGCAGCTTTATTCATAATAGCCCCCAAATGAAAACAATTCAAATGTCCATCAGCAGGTGGACAAATAAGCAAATTATAATATATTCATACAACAGAATATAACTACACAATAAAAAGGCACAAGCTACTGACGCATGCAACATGGATCAATCTTCAAAACACTGTGTTGAGTGAAAGAAGCCAGACACAAAAGAGTACAAATTGTATGGTTTCATTTATATGAAGTATAAGAATAGGCAAAAGTAACCTATGGATCAGAACAGTGATCACCTCTGAGGGAACTGACTGGAAGAGGGTAGGAGAGAATTTCTGGCATGATGGAAATAATTATTTTGATGGGGGTAGTGTTTACATGGGGACACACTTTATATCCCCATGATATATGAGTTTATCAAAACTCATCAAACTGTATTCTTAAATGGGTACATTCTATAGCATACAAACTATACTTAATTTTAAAAATATCAGGAAAAAATAGCTGGAAGAACTGTTGGTAGCATTTGCTGCTGGGGAGAGGGAGAAGGACTGGAAATACTACTAGGAGAAGAGACTTTCTATTGTACATACTTTACACTGTTAGGATTTTACACCAGGTACACACATTACTTTTTAAAAATTAGATTTTAAAAGAAAAAAGCCATTAAGAAAAACAAGCAAACAGGGCAATGGATCTGAGGCTGGATGCAAAAACAGAGCATAGACTGTACAGCAAAGCCATAGGACATTCAAAGCAAAGGGGGCCTTATACTCACAAGACAGAAATAATGCACACTGAGATTGTCTTTCTGAAGAAATTCCCCTAATTTTTCGGGATCCCCAGATGCTTGAAGGCATAGCCGGCAAACTGGAAGAAAGGATGTTAGGAATTCATTTCGGGAGCATAACGATCTAAGTGCAAGGAGGAGTACAGTACTGGGAAGAGGGTCATTTTGACGAGGAGGAGGTTGGGATGAAGTGTTATTTGATATCAGTTAGGTTTTCATATAATTTTAGCCACACCTGACGGAGGGGCTGCAACTGCTCACTTCATATACTTTTATCTTAAGTGGCTTTAATTAACTTGTTCCTTGAACTTGGGACATGACATTTAAAAATTACAGACTCTGAGTTCTTCAGGATCTTAGAGATTCTGGGAAGGAACTGACAGTGAGAAGAGCAAGTTTGCTGCCCTACACAGGTGGCCTTTGCTGAGGTCAGGAGGCAGCAGCCAAACAGAACCTCCAGTCTTTCTTACCAGGCCCTGAAGAAGGCTTCCTCTGGGTTACCCTCCTTGTCTTGGCAGATTTTCTATACAAGAGATGGAAAAAGTACAAGGTAGTCTTTGAGGATCCTGTTGGCATCTATTTTAACATTTCCCTCAAAATGCTATCCATGGGTCTGATGAAGGACCAAAATAGCTAAAGACTAAGACATCAGTTTTCTTCTTCCCTTTCATATTTTTTGAAAGCACAAAACATGCCCATGGAATTATGTGAATTGAGATCATAGCCATCTTTCTCTTCTAGTGCCTCTATTGCCTGTGTTGACTGAATGAATGCAAGAACAAACCCCCTTTTATTCTTTTACTGTTTCTCCTGTCACCTACCCTGAGTCTCAGGTGGTACCATGTTCACAAGGCGTAATAAAATGATACTAAAATTGATTAAGAATTTCCTATTGCTAGGCAATATTGTTGGCTCTTTATATGTATTAGCTCAGTGAATCTACAGAATGTTCTAAAAAGTGGGTGCTATTATTATGCATTTTCCAGACAAGGAAACTGAGCCCTAAAGAAATGAAATAACCTGTCCCAGGTCATCTAGTTACCAAGTGTTAGAGCCAGGATATGACTCTAGGCAGAAGGGCTCCACAGCCAGGACTTTGCCAGTAGGGACATCCCTGGGAGGATAGGTTACTGGGCAGCTTCCCAGGGACCACTGGTGTATGCTTCAACACTAACCAACCTTAGCCTCCAAGACCAAGCAAAGGGGACAAAAAATGAAGCATATACTACAGGCCATTGGACAGTTTCTCCCATACTCTCTTAAGTTGCCTACTCTACCTCAATCTTTGATGTTCCTTCTTCTTTCCTTTTATAGTCTTCATTCTCTGCTGCCTATCTTGAATTCTTCTATACTATAATAAGAACAATACCGGCTCTTCCAGCTATAAAAATAAACAAGTCAGCAATTAATTCTACATTTGGTTATCAGGTTCCACAGGGTCAAAGCAACAGTGCACTTCACCTCCCCATCCATGTGACAGAATAAAAGCGACACGCCCATTATCAATGCCAGTTAGTAGCCAATAATTATTAAATCATGCCCAGAACTGTTCTGGGCATTTTACATTTAACTCAAAAACCCCGCTGGCAATAGGTACCATTTTATCCCTATTTTCAAGATGAGACTGAGGCACAGAGAGGTCACACAGAGGCACTTGCTCAAGATCACAGTTACTGATACACCACAGCGGTATGAGAACTTGGAACTATTGCTTGAACTGGCTAACTGGTTGTTTTATTTGTGCCTACTAAATGTATGAGGTAGCACTCAGGAAAAATGTCTCCTTTTGCCCCCAAGTTTAAGTTCCTTAATTCCACCCAGGAAAAGCTAGATTAGGTAGCTCTTTCCTAGGAAAAGGAGCCTGTGAGATTCTGGCTTTCTAAAGCGAGAACTCCCTCTAGTGAGAGCCAAGATATAACCCTGACAAATCACCCCTTGGCTCCTATTGCTTCTTTTCACCAGGCTCAGATGATCACTGAGGTCTGGCCTGTTCTCAGCCTTCCTCTACATGTGAACCAAGGTTAAAAGGCCCAGAAGTGGAAAAGACACCCTGCCACTCCTCCCCCAACCAATGTCAGCTGGCTATAAATTCACAGTTTTCATTGGTTAAGAGGAAAATCCCTGAATGGGAAGGGGGACAAAAGAAATAAAAAGCACTCCTCTGAAGGAAGGACCGTGTCAAGTCAGGGGAGAGGAGGATAGCATTTCTTAGGAGAACTGAGTGAATTAGGTCAGTCCAGGGACACACACTCCAGTACCCATGTCCTCAGACCACAGCTGGAGAGCATGAACATCTTTAGGAACTGTCAACTATTCTGCATGAACTTAACTACTCTGGCAACTAGCTGTTCTGCAAACTAAGGCTCCATCTCCTCTTCTAACCCATGAGTTGCACTTGCATTGGTAATGACATTTGATGGCTTTTTACTCAACAAAAGCACTTGGACAGGCTGGAAGAGGAGACAGAAGGGCGTGCACTAGGGGATCCACTTTAGCTGGCTACTGAACAGTTCCGAGTCGTTGGGGAAATCCAGATCTAGCAATAGAAATAAAACCTTGAAACGTCAGTTCTTTGAATCGCTGGACCAAGACGTTCCTTGAGCGGGATCCTGCGCACAGTGGTAGTTACAGGAAGACGGCAAGGATCTTCAAAGCATGCGAGGAGGACGTTGCAAATGCTGGCTTCCACAAGCTGCTCAGTCTGAGACTTCCTAACCGAGCGGATGCTCCCTTGAAACGATTACCGAGTTGTTTCACTGGGTAAGTGCAGGGTAAAACTTGTTGAGAAAATTAAAAATAAGCGTGTTCGGCCCCGCCACCGCAAGAATAAACAATGATTTATTTGGAAAATACGAGTCGTTGTGGCCACAACCATTCCCCGGAGGTAACAGCCGAAGAAGGGGCTCAAGGGGCATCCCGCGGATGCCAGACCAGGCTCATGTCGCGCCTGCTGGGCTGCTGGTGCGAGGCCGGGCCGCAGGTCGCCTCAGCCGCTCACTCCTCACGGTGGCGCACGGGCGTCCGCTCCCGGCCAGGGCCGCCCGCCCAGCTATCGCCCAGGGCGCCGCTGTCCCGGAGTTTTATTCGTTGCCGCAAGCCGTGGTAGATACCTCACGGGCCGCCGCCCCGCGCGGTGACTGCGCCGGCGAAGGGAGTGACAACGCAAACGGGGACTGGGTCACGCGGACTGCGACCCACGGAGACCGCAGCCGCCGGGAGCACAGCAACGCTGACGGCTGCGTAGAGCGGAACCGCTAACGGTAGCGCGCTAACGGCCGCACGCCTGCCCCGCCCCTTCTCGCGCCACCCGCGCTCTAGCTCCGCCCCGTCCTCTCGCCCTGCACTCCCGCGCGAGCTCGCTGGCGTCTGGAGTCGAAACTGCAGAAGACGAGGCCAGAGGCGGGGCGGCGATCGTCGCGCCGAGGTGACGTAGTGCCGCCGGCGCGGGCGGGTGACGCGACGGGGCCTGTTGTCTGTGTGTGGGGCTAGGGGCCCCGGGGGCGGCGGGGGCGGCGGGGGGTCTGGAGGGCCTGGACATGGCGCTGAGGGGCCGCCCCGCGGGAAGATGAATAAGGGCTGGCTGGAGCTGGAGAGCGACCCTGGTGAGGAGGGGACCGGGCAGGCCCGGAGCTGGGGAGGCCGGGTGGGTCCGAGACGCGCCTTTCTGACCACTACCCGCCCCTCTTGTCGCCCCACCCAGGCCTCTTCACCCTCCTGGTGGAAGATTTCGGTAAGAGCCTCTCCTACGCGCCGGAACCAGGCTGTGGGGGCCCACTCCTGGGCCATCGCTCCACAGCCAGAGGCTACCCTTCTCGACTTCTTTCCTTAACTGATCGCAGGTGTCAAAGGGGTGCAGGTGGAGGAGATCTATGACCTTCAGAGCAAATGCCAGGGGTGAGTGGCTTGGCACGCGGCGTGGCTTCGGTCGCCCCTTACACCCCGAGGGCTAGGGAGGGACCCGGGAGAGAGTGCTCCTCAAGGGAGGTAGTATCAGAGGCTCCAAATTGTAAAATCTCGTATAAGGAAGCATCCCTCCTCTTTGGGTGCCTTCCTGATGAAGGTGGTGCTGTGCTTTTGTTTCTCCCAGTTTTCCCTCAGCACTTCCCTTTATGTGGTAGCCTCTTCCCCTCAATACAAATTCTAACCATCTCTTGGATTAAATTCATCTGCTTTTTGTGGCCTTCCAGCCAGAAACCCCCTGCTCTTGACTCGGGTCACACTGTGCCTTTTGTGCAGCTGTAATTTATTAATGACTGCTTTACTGTGCCTGTGTGCCAGTGGTTTTAATCCCCACACAGGGGTCTCATATTGATTGGTTGGTTTGTGGCATCTGACAAGGACTCTACTGGGTGACCAAGGTCAGGGTCTTGTCTTGGTGGTCCTACAGAATAGAGGTGTGGAGGAACTGCTACGGTGACTAAACGGAGAAGTCTGCTTCTTTCCCTTCAGGAAAGAACGGACTGATATGGGTGTTTATTAACTTCCCTGATTGCACTGGGGCCCAGGCCCTGGGCTTCACAAGTGAGAATTGGTGTTTAAATTCCTCATCACATTTATTGTTCTCGCCTTACCTTCTGTTCCTACCCGGTCCTGAGCCATCGTTCCAGCTTTTCTTATCCCAGAACCATAGACTTCATAAGGATAATGGGCAACTCCTGGAGCATCACAGCCAGAGGCTGATGCTTGACTCTGCCTGCAGTGGGCTTCTGGGGTGCGAGGGCGCAGGGCCACTTTGGGCAGCGTTGGGAAGAAGCCAAGGGAGAGGTGGGATCACAGGAAGGGCACCTGAGTGGTAACACAGTGCAAAGGAATAGGGGAGAGGAAAAGGAATGCAGATTGCCTTCCCCCACTTGACTGGTCTAGCTCTGTCCCTTACTTTCCCCAGCCCCGTGTATGGATTCATCTTCCTGTTCAAATGGATCGAAGAGCGCCGATCCCGTCGCAAGGTCTCTACCTTGGTGGATGATACATCTGTGATTGATGATGATATTGTGAATAACATGTTCTTTGCCCACCAGGTCTGCTGGGCTCTATGTTCTTTCTGGAGGGTGGGATGCTGCCGTTTTTTTCGCTTGGAAAGTGGAAGTGGGGGAAGGCAGAAGGGGCTGAGCTCTTATTCACTAAAAAAGGGAGTCTCTTTAGAGCAGGGTGATGTCTGAGTCCATTCTGCATGTCCCCAGACTCCTGATGGGTACTTAGTTGAATGAACAAATGTTGGGTAAAGATGAGGAGAGTTGATGAGGATTGTCCAGACATGACTGTCCCTCTCTGAGTCCCCATTCCTGATGAGTATGGGCTTGGGGTGGGGGATGCTGTGGATGGGTGACTGTTCTTTGTTTCACAGCTGATCCCCAACTCTTGTGCCACTCATGCCCTGCTGAGCGTGCTCCTGAACTGCAGCAATGTGGACCTGGGGCCCACCCTGAGTCGCATGAAGGACTTCACCAAAGGCTTCAGCCCTGAGGTAGGCCACAGTTCCTTAATCCTGACTCAGCTGACTAGGCAGATGTGACCACCAGATCTGCCACTGATAATGCCACTACACGGCATTTGGCACTGTGAGGCTTTTTCAAATGATATTTACATTATATTTGACCTGTAAATTAATTGTGTAAGTCAACTTTTTTTTAAGGCCCAATTTGTCAGAAAAGGAGATAGACCTAGGGAAGAGAGGAACGTTCCTTAAGTGACACCTTATTAGGACTTTATCAGGCAATGATGTTCTCCAGTGTCCACTGATTACTGTGTAAGGCCAGTACAGCCCATCTTTTGGGGGCTCCAGAGCTCTTTTCTGCCCCCACTAGGCCTTCAGGAGAGGCCACCTGTGCTTCTTCAAGTTCCTGGAATGCCCCCAGGCCTGCTCCCCTGAGCTCTGTTTCCCACCCAAGGCCCGCCTGAGAAGTTGCTCTGATGTGGCCTTATTTTCTTCTCTCTAGAGCAAAGGATATGCGATTGGCAATGCTCCAGAGTTGGCCAAGGCACATAATAGCCATGCCAGGTGTGTGGGAGCTGTGAGGAACTGATGGGGGTGGGGGCAAGGAAGGGGGTTGTACCATTCTGGGCACTGACTGTGTCCTTCCCCAGGCCCGAGCCACGCCATCTCCCCGAGAAACAGAATGGCCTCAGTGCTGTGCGGACCATGGAGGCATTCCACTTTGTCAGCTATGTGCCTATCACAGGCCGGCTTTTTGAGCTGGATGGGCTGAAGGTTTACCCCATTGACCATGGTAGGCTCTCTGAGCTGGGGTCCCATTGGATTTCTCTGCTTACCTCCTAAGGAGGTGGGGCTCAAGGTCCTCAAGTGCTTGGGACCCAGTGGGGGGGGGGGGGGGGGGGGGGGGGGGGGGGGGGGGGGGGGGGGGGGGGGGGGGGGGGGGGGGGGGGGGGGGGGGGGGGGGGGGGGGGGGGGGGGGGGGGGGGGGGGGGGGGGGGGGG